TTGTTCATACAATGAAAACCTTTCAAGACTATAATGGTGACAGAAAAAACTGTCAGTATCAATCAAGGAAAATCTGTGTAATAGGCCTTTTGCAGTTAGAGATCACGTGCTTAGATACCGCATAGCAATGCCATACTGGAGTGCAAGCACTCCAGTGATCTCAGACAAAATAGAGATCACAGAGGTCTGCACTCAAACAAAGAATACAGTGGATAACAAGTTAAAGGGTATCCCAATTTGAGAAATCTTGTTAGTTTTAATCAACAGCTTCCTTGGAGTGTATGAGCAAAAAACGAATTTTGGTGTGATTTTGCTGCTGATACACTCCGGGGAAGCTGTTGATTACTTCTTACTGGATTTCTCGAATTGGGATACCTTTTGACCTGTTATCCGTTGTATTCTTTGTTTGAATGCAGACCTCTGTGACCTCTATACTGTCTGAGATCACTGGAGTGCTTGCTCTCCAGTACGGCATTGCTATGCAGTATCTAAGCATGTGATCTCTAGCTGCAAAAGGCCTATTTTGCATAGGATTGTTTAATGACATCTCTCATACCTGAGTGGGGCCTGATAATTCTTTACCCTCATCATCAACACCAGCACGTGCTAACATAGAATCCATAGCATGCTACAAATAAAAACATATTAAGCTGGGAAAAACCCAATACATTCCCTGAGGCAAAATTAACATCAACAGACAGGTAAATTAAGTGACTGTGTAAATGCAGTGGCAACTATGAAAACAGCTCTTGGACACTTAATAATGAGCAGAAATTATCAAAAGCAAACCTTTAGTTTAAGCACTTCTCGTCTCCCTGTTGGTTTCCTTCAAATCAAAAGGAATCATAGAAAAATTTAATGTCTTTCTATGATTCTAAGACATGGATAAGCTAAACTTTTCAAGACAGACAACATGAACATGTAAGTATAAAAATAAAAAAAAGAATCGTAACAGCTACCCAACTCTCTAAAAAGTAAATTAAAATGTATTCCTCACAGTACATTCCTGGCAGCACGCTTAACTAACATACAAGTATTAATTTGATGGCCTGCTCCCAGTTGGCTTGTTAGCTCAACTGGTAGAGCGCTGCACTAGTATCGCAGAGGTCAGTGGTTCGA